ACTGTTACTGATTTGATGACTTCACTGTCTTTATCTGATGAAATCCCATAGCATAATTGGGTTTCAAGATACATTCTGACAGCCAAACTGCAAATAAATCTCTTCATTGTAATCACTACGCCTCAAAGATGACAATAAGATGCGAGAAAACCTTAAACAAACTCTCGAAAAGACCGTCACATTAATTTTAAATATTTTTGTTAAATTTTTTTTTAAGCAACATTATATTGATTTTATTTTTTAATTCCCAGCTTCTTCAGATTTCCTTTAAAATCTTGAATTGAAATTTATTAAGAAATAACAAAATCAGATTTTTGATAAAAATAAAAGAGTTGTTGTGTATGTTCGACTCTATATGGCTGTGGGGTTAAGTGCAAGTTGAAAAGACACCATAAATTGTTATTGGAATGTCCCACCTCTTGAGTACGCTCAGATATATAAACATTCGGATCGTTTGCTACACATTAGCGATATTTGGAGTGGAATGAGTAAAACGTTGATGCACAATCCTTACAATATTTATAAGACCAGTCTCTTCAGATTTTCTTTAAAATTTTACCATTTGCTATATTTACTACAGACGATTACTTGCGCCATAAGCCCCTCGTAAAGTATGAAACGGGAAAACATTTGAATCGTAGTTTTCAACAATTTTAAAGCAATGAAACTGAAACTAAGCATTCTTGATTTGACAGTTAAGTTTGACAGATGTCAAAATATAGCTCTATACTTTTAGAAACACGAAATGGATAACCTTTTTTATTTTAACTGTAACTTTTTCCTACATTATCTCAGAATGCTGGTGAGAAATTAACATAATTATTAATCAAAATTTGATAACTACACACCAGTGAATTTTTTGAGTATAATTTTTTTTATTTTATTTTAAATTTAGTTTGTGCTAAAAAGCTCGCAGGCGTAAAGAACTCGGCGACTTAGTAACAAAAGATTAGTCAACAGAATTTATTTACTTTCTCAAGAACAAAGCAGCCAAAAAGCGACAACAAACAAGTTATAAAAGAGATGGAGAAAAAGAAGAACAGTTAATTTTGTGAACAAAAGCTTTGCATGCGAAGAACAAACATACGTTTGTACATATGTACACTCATATATACATCTTACTTTTATGTGCATATAAATTACTTTCGTTTTCACTACAACAAACCGAAAGTGTGTTAAGTGAGAGAATACGCAAATTAGCAGACACATATATATATATATATATATACATATATATAAAAAATATAACAAATAATGAAACCAGAATAGGCAAAAAACAACAAAGCGGACAAAGAGTTTGCCAAAAATAATAAAACAAAAGGAAAGAAATAATGAAGGGAAATTAAACCGGTTTCAAAGCTTAGTAAGCAAATACGTATGTACGAGTATGTATTGTATGTAAGTGAAATGTCTGAAGTTATAGCTTTAAAATCAATTTGCATATATATCTGTGCACTGAGCATAGGTGTCAAGTAAAATGAATAAAATGATTTTTATGATTAATTTATTAAAAAAAAGTTTATTTATTAATTACAAAATAAATGATTTTCCTACATTCTTTTCTACATTTCCGTTTTTCCTACTGGTGCCTGTATTTTTGTTGCAAAATAAAAAGCTTTTAATGAAAAAATTCTTGTTGAGGCCATGGCATAACAATCATATAGTCGTATATATATATATATGCAACTTTTGCCGGTTACCAACGTCAATGTTGTTGCAATGCATATGGCCCACTGAATTAATGCAACTAATATTTCGCATTATACTCTATAATATTTCAGTGGTACTCTCTATATCCGCTCTTTCTCTCTCCCTCTCTCTCTTTTATAAGTTACTTTGCTTAGGTGGAAAATGAATTTTCAGTGGAAAATCTCTTATTGTCTTTGGTAAGAGTGTAAAATGTATGCAGCGGTAAATATGTGGTTTGTTGTTATGCACAAAATATCAGCATAAAAATATTTTATGCGACGGCCGCACATACATATGAATATCTGGTACGATTTAATATTTCTTAGAACTGTGATCTACCGCATCGAACACCCCAATAAGCAGCTTAGGCACACCATAAAGGGAGGAGTACTCGACTTGAAAAACACCAACTAGTAATACGTAAAACAACTGCTGGACAGGACGGCATACAAACAGGCACTGGATGCCATTCACCATGAATCAGTCAACATCTTCAAAGACTCCCTTCCCGTGAATGGCGTGCTCTGAGTAAAACCACCACTCAGTGCAGACAACGAGCATGAGCTGCCTCGAGAGACTCGCCTGAAATTGGCACAACTTGGGTCTAGATTCTGTAGCAGGTTAAACTCCTACATATTCAGACTCGACCCCAGCGTATCCAACGTATGCCCAGCATTTGAGAGTCTCCGCACGACAGTAACCACCTCTTCTTAAACCAACTCATCTAACCCCCTCCTATCCCCCTGTCCGATTCCATCGAAACAGCACGCTTCCGGGACCTCTCGCCTAAAGCTTCTAAATCAACCTACCCTCGCAAGTGGCAGAGAAATGTTAGGCTCCCTGTTCGTAGTGACACTTCTTAACCGATCAATTTGTGGTTCATGGCTCTTATCTGAGGTAAATTTTAATATTTTAACTCGTGTATCTAGGCAGTTGGAGGGTAATCAGGGTATTCGTTGGGCTTATTATTACTATTAAAGCGGCTTGTCGTTAATCAATTCCTCGAATTTTTTAATGTGTTTTTCAAACAAATGGAGAAACTGGAGAAGTCCAAATGAATTTGATGGTTATGACAGAAATATTCTTGGGGTGGTTAACGTTCTGTGACAAACATTATTACTTTTTCTTCTTCTTTTGTGAAGATACTTAGCTTGATGGCATGCACTGCCTACTGCGCTTAAGTTCCACTTTGATTTTAACCACAAAGGATAATCATTATGAGTTTCATTAAAAGAATCACTTTGTTAGCATTATTCATAAAGCTCAGATATTATCATTACTTTTGAGCGAAATATATAAAAATCAGAATAAAAATTAAGTTCGATCGGAGAAACGAAACTTAAAAGCAAAAATTTTTAATTATTAGTTTCAAGAAATATGCCTGGATGTATAAAAAACACTTCCTTGCGATACGTAAAAATCATTGTAAAGTAAAAAAAATAATTATTATTTTCGATCCCATACACTAACCTTTAACTCTATTTAACCTTAAATAAAACATTTAATACTTCTTCACCCAATACCGGCAAGAAAGGCATAAACAATAAAGTTATAACCTTTAAAACAGATTATCCAGCATTTTTTACTTCATTAAAAATCTTTCAGCTTCATTATAAAATATTTTTGATTAAAAATAATCATTTTAGTAAATGAATAGCGTGAATAGTTACACAATTTCTTCCAATTTGCCTATGCTACGCTCCACTTTGCTTTGTGTGCCCTTGCTACAAGTTCGTTGCTTAAGTCCTTCGTTTCGTTTTTTTTTTTATTTCTTTCTTTTTGCCAAAACCAATTTACGCTCCCTTTCAAATGTGCGAAAAAGAAACATATGCAATTTCACGCTCACTTTCTGTTATACTCTTAGCTACACACGCAACAGCTTAAGTACATTATACACAAAGCTCTTTGAGCTAACGGTGCACACGAAGTAACTGCTGCCAACAAACACTTAGCAATGCTTAGAATATGAAAGCAACAACAAATACCCACAAACAAATTCCATTCCATTCACTGGCAAGTACCGCAATGAATTAGTTCAGTTATTCATTGTAATTATAACGATCTCTGAACACAATCTGCTCGCATTCATTTGTCTCTCAATGAATACGGGGAGAGTATATTTCTAGTGAACGCACGAGCACAGTGAATATTGTGATCACACGAAGAGGCAAGTCCGATGACCGATCAGAGCTTTTACCACACTTTTGTGGCACTTCTTAAGCTAATGCAGCTTACCTACAGCTCAGCTTGCTGGCATTCGGCTGTGCTGTCGCGTTGGCGCTTTTGTGCACATGAGCCGCTGCTAGCGTAAAGGTGACTGGCGCTTCGATGGTGAAGGCTTAGGAAAAGCACTCGCATTCTTTGCAATGCTTGATTTTATGGTACGCAACGTTGACGCTGACGCTAGCTTTGACGGCGACTGCTCGCACAGACAGTGTTGCAGTACATTTGGTACAGCTAGCTAATGGCTTAGATGCTCGTATGCGCTAACACTCGATCTTGAGAAGTCAACGCAGCTGCACGGTCGCGCGCTAGTAGTTCATTCGCAAGGTTTTATATATTCGTTCGTTTTGCGAGTGGAGCTCAGTTTGGTGCTTAAGCGCGGGGCGTGTATCTCGTACTTTGGATTAGTTTCTTAGTTACTGGCTCGTCACAGTGAATTAACTGTAATATTTTTCATTAATTTGGTGCTATATTCAACAAAAAAAAACAGAAATAATTTCTCATATGGAACTTTTAAAATGTGTGTATGTGTATGTGTGTGTGTATGTGTGTGTGTATGTGTGTGTGTGAACGTTGTGTGTGAAATTAGAAAACGATTAGTGCCAAATGAAACGGATATCCTCGAACTACATTAATTACGCAAGCATAAGAAACTAAAAAGAAAAAACTGAAAAATTGCACAAAAAATAAACGAAAATTTAGCGGAAATTAAAATTGCAAAATTCATATTTCTTCTTTTGACAAAAGCCTAGCTTGTGTTGAACAAATTGAGTGCTTTTCAATAAAGAAAAAATTACTGAAAATATTTGTAACTTTATTTGACATAAAAAATTTAAAAATTGTTTCACAAAAAATTTCAAATTATTTTTGTGTTTCAAAACAGGGTTTAGTGTGTTAACAAATAACGCCCGTCTCGCTGTACTCTAAAAATTGTATAAGAATTTTGTGTTAGTTAATCCAAAGAGAAAAAACAATTTGTTAAAAAAAAATATTTATATAAAAAACTCTCGAATATTTTTGTAAAAAAAAAATTAATAACTTTGTTGTGCTTTGCAGAAAAAAGTTAAAAATAAAATTGAAAAGTAAAAATGCATAAAAAAATGTCGGTCAAGTGGAAATTAAATAATGGATTACAAGCAGCAGCTGCCCTTTTGGGTCTGATTGCACTTATGATGGATATAACAACAGTGCAGGCTGTACGTGTTAGTGGACAACGCGGCAAAGGTAGGTGTTTTTTATTTCAAAATGTGACTAAACACTCTAATTTGGGTACTAATAAATCACAAATAAATCATAATAAAAATTAATCTAATCTTGAAATTCAAAAAGATTTACTTTAAAAGCTTATATGAAGCTGACAACTTTGGCTATTTAAAGTAAAAATAATATTAAAAAAAAAATTAAATAAAAAAAATTAAATTAAATTAAAATAACTGAATAATAATCCTTGCTGCTATTAATAATGCAATTTAAGGCATTTTAAAATTGCTTTTACACACTCGCTGTTTCTATAGTAATAATTAGCTTGAGTTGAGTTGATGCGGCTGTTGGTAAACCCCAGCACACTTAGGCCAATAGGCCCATTTGGATACCGCTAAGACTCCTGCCTACACTTTCTCAAATGATCGAACTATTTCGTGTGCCTTATAAGGCGAACGAGATTTCTAATATTCACTGAGGCCAACTCAGCGATAAAGTTGTAGAAGTGTTCATAATTAGCTTGCTCCAGACAGATAATTAAAATAAAAGGATATTAGGAAAATTTTAAATTTAAAAGCTACTCCGATTTATTTTATTAAGATGATTTTTTATGAAATAAATTAAATAACATTTTTCAAAAATGGAAATTTTTTTTTTTTAAATTAGCAAAATCAGTGAAGAAATTGATTATTGTTTTTATTCAAATACTTGTTATTATAAGGCACAACAACTGTGATGAATAGCTCAGAAAACAGCTGAACAAATAATGCAAATAGTTTCTATGCATTTGAAAGTGGAATTTTCAAAAAAAAAAAATAATTAATTATAAACAAGATCAATTTGTCATGCAAATTGACAAATAATTTTGTAATTTATTTAAAGTGTTTTCGAAAAAATAATTTCTTAGTTTGCCTTCTTTGTGAGTACTAGTTCCGTTGCTGAAAAAAATACTAAGAAGTTCTTTAACTCGAAAATTAGACTTATCGAAACTGATATTTTTAAGCTCACACACACGCACAATTGATACATTGATACAAAATACATTTAAAGAAAATATCATTAACTTATAAAGGCCCCTACAGTTCTTTCAAGCTGCCTCCGAGACACCTCATCAAATACTTTTTTATTTCATATAAAAAATATAATCGGAACGATTGCCAATCCTGGAGCAGGGATGAGCGCAGTAAGAAAATATGTATCCTTATAATTAGCCTGGGCAGCACTTGAACCGCTACCCAAGATCAGCGGCTGCCACAACGATTTAAACAAATTTTTTTGTTTTTTTTTTTTATCTTTTAATTTTTCAAATGCATAAATAAGTCACTTTAAACAACTTTTTAAATTTAACTTTATCTTAAATTTTTCCAATAATAAAGGATGTAAGACCTAAAATTAACCAAACCACTTTAAGATGGAATATATTTCATTTTATTTGAAACTACTGAAATGCGTTCAATAAAATGTGTAATACGAGATTTGTTAAGGATTTTTTTTAATAAAATTAAGTGTTGACTATTCAATTTTAAACCAAAATAAAATAAGCTAAATAGGAAGAAAGAGATGATTTCGTTCACTTTAGCTTAGATTTTATTTATTTGTTTGTAATACCTGTTGTGGTTGTGCTAAGCAGACCTTCCTTGAACTAATTTCATAGAACAATCAATGTTTGTCCTTTTTCTTTTACTTTCCGAAAATTATTTTTATATTCCATCTAAAGCTCTACTCCAGCATTCAAAAACAGTTCTGATAAACAATTCTTGGGATAGCCTTAAGCTTTTTGAGGGTGTCCAATTTGATGAATATTCTTACATCATATTTAGGCCAGATTTTTCCGTATGCCTTTTGCCCAGAAAAAAACTAAAACGCAATGATGAATCGGCTCATTCTCCATTAAAGGAAATCAAAATTCAAAAATTTTAGGATTTTGTATTGCTTTTTGACACGAAAGTCATTGGCGAAGCATTGACGTTTGAAGGAACTTTTTGCGCTTTTTCGATCTTGGCTCTTCTTTCAATGACTTAATGTTTCCCCACCAGTTACGATCCTTTTAAGTCATTCAAGTAGTCATTGCCATCATCTAGCAACACCAAAATAATTTGTGCGAGATAAACTAAGCTGCGCTCTATTTCATCTTTTTAAAAAATTATAATTGCATGGCATAAGGTAATCGATTCCAATTTTTAATAAAAAATGTATGTAGATTGTTATATAATTGGCGCTTTGTAACTGCCAAAACGATTTTTCGCCGAGATCCTCTTCCAGTTTGTGGTCTTGCGTCTTGATATTTTTCCAACCAATGGAGGGACCTATAGTTTATACTACGCCGCCTCCGAACGGCTGATTGTTATTTTATGAGGAGCTTTATTTTATTAACTTATGGGATGTTGGTCGCATGGGAATTTTAAATCGATACTTCCGAGAAGCGGTACTCAATGCTAACCACTCGGCCACCGCGGCCGAAATGATTTTTAGCAAAGCGAAAAATTCAAAAAATATTGTTTTTTAATTTAGTTTTTGGACAGAACAGATTTAATTAATGCATACTGAACAGTTTTATATACAGTAAATAGTCAGAGATGCTACTTCTTTTAATCACATTAAGGGATGTAAAGAACTCAAACTTATTCGCCAGTGCATTAATCAAGTTAATTAGAGCGCAATTAATTTGTTTTTCTACGCATGCAAATTAAGTACTTTTTTCCTCAATTTCATTAAACATAAAAATAGGCTAATTAATGCATAATTTAAGCAAAAAACTAGCAAATTAAATCAAGCAAAAAGGGTGTGACGTGAGAAAATACTAAATCGTAAAATACAAGAAACTAATTTACAAGATTCATTACTCATGTGTACACCACACACACATGCGTACTTGAAGCTAGATAAAATTGGTGTTAGAAAATATATAATTCGTCGACGGCAATGTGTGATTCAAAATGCATTAGCAAAGCTGGAAACGCGTGCCATTCACGCAATTAGCAACAAAAAGCTCAAATTGAATATTATAATTTGAATTTTCAAACAATCAATAACAGACAAATGTTAATTGAAAAATGCGTTAGCAACAAACAGACAAACAAAACAATATCATAACACTGCCCACCTGTTTAACATTAATCATGAGATCATTAATCAAGGCGTGTTAAAGATGCGCCGTCAACAAGAAATCTATGTAGCAGACATCGCCGCCGGCGCTGCCAAATCAATATTGGCAAAAATAAACATCTTTCACACTTTAACCCTTATGGATGGTTGCTTAAATATCTATTGTGTTATTTTTTGTTTGACATTTAACAGATTGGTATTTCGACAAAAAAAATGTGTAAAACAATAACAGCGGCTGGTATTGACATGTAGCTATATGCACATGAGTGCATTTGTATATTCACTTTGTCAAAAATTTTGCTAAAAAAAATTGTTTTTTCAAAGCATACAATAGACTCTAAACGAATCTTAAGTATGGTCGATAAATTCACTGTCACTTTTGACAGCTCAATCAGCGTTGCACTGTAATTTCTCAAATATTTGAGCCACTTTCATATATCACATATGCACTTATCTTGCTTTCCTTTAACAAAATAAATATTTGTATACAGAAAAACAATAGACAAAGTGTTAAAAAACTTTTCATATATTCATTAAGCTCTCAGCATTCATCAGTGCTTAATTGCCCGCTACTGTATTGACGCGCTCTCAGCTAAGTATGTAGTATAAGTAAACAACAATAATATTGTGTAGTCTAAAAATGAAAATGAAAGTAAACTTAATTAATATAATCATTAGCAGGCGACTAGTTTGCCATAATCAGTTCATTGCCTAAGCTATTGTTTTGAGGTAACTTAAGAGACTTTGGAGTAGGTGTTACTAGTATTATGTCTATATACACCAACACATACATGTATGTACTTTTAGCAGACAATGTGTAGAGAAAATGTATTCACACATAATAAGCGCATATTGTTTTGTTTACAACATTTGATTTTTATGTATTAGTTTTTCTCCGATAAATATTCACTCATATGCAGAAAAATTGCAACGAGTTCGTTGCTTGAGTCTTTTATTTTGTATAGATTTTGCACAAAGTTCGTTATCCGCTCGCTCAATCACTCACTACTCACATATGTTTTTGCATTTGGTATTCGTTGTTTGTTTATTTATTGCGTGATTTTATGCAATTAATCTGCATTTCAGCGCTGAGCGCATATTTTTTTCTGATTAATTAACAGCAACTGGTCATTATTTTATTAGAATCGTAAGTGGCGAATATTATGCAAAAAAAAGACTACAACAATTGCCGCTATTACAGAATAAAAAGCTTTGTGAGACATGTGTGTATGCAGATTGAAGTACTGAGACGTGTTTCACGTATACTTATACATATATGAATGAATTTGTGTACTCGTATAACGATCTATTATAATAGCACCGCACAGGTGATCCAACTATGTCAGCGCGAACTTTATTCTCTCACGCTCCGCATTGATAAATCACAATATTTTATTTTACTCTTAATGAAAGTTGATATGAGAAAAACCAGAAAAATAACAAAACATAAATGCCAATATTAATAAAAAATACAATAAAAAATTAGAAAATAAATACATTAAATAAATTAAAGTAAAATACAAATTAAATTTAATTTAGTAAAAAAAATTAATTGAAATAAAATGAAACTATGAAAAAAATGAAATAAAAACTATTGTTGTAATTTTTTCACTATTCCAAAAATATAGCTGATCTGAAACAGTTCTATAAAAAAATCCAATAACAATTCAACAGAAAAATTACCTGAAAAAGCATCTAAAATAAATTTAATTCAGTTTAATAAAAAATTTAAATAAATTAAAATAAAATAGAATCAAATTAAAAAAATAAAATAGTTAAACATAAACTAATATAAGTTTAAATAAAACAACGTAAACTTAAGTGAAATGAAGTAAAATAAAATAAAACGAAATGCCATAAGATGTTATAATCTAGAATAAATAATAAAATAAAATACAAATTTCAAAGATAAAAGAAAA